CATCAGTTGAGGAAAGGAAACACATTAAATGTTCATATGGTAGAATTGTTTATCACAGAATTACACCAATAGCAAAAAAAATAAAATACTAATCAGATATCAAAGATTTTGTCTCTGAATTCATTTTTCTCCTTAGTGTAATATCCTAGTAACATTTCGGAAGAAGTCTTAATTAATGTTTTAAGGTGTGGCAATATTTTAAAAGAGAAAGACTAAATTATCTGAGATACCCACATTCATTTTTATAGCTCAATACTTTTCTTAGACAATACTTATGTATTGTCCGTCTATTTATATTTCTCCTAAAGAACTTTAGGCAAAAAGTTTGAGACAAAGTTAAGCCTTAAATGAAACACTGAATGAGATTATGAATGAGTTATTTTTCTAATGCTAATTGCTAATGCTTTGGAAAAGGGGTTGGATTAAACCAAAAGGCCAAAGTACATTTAAACATGAAGTCCAAGTAACTTTGAAGCAATTGTTCCTGAATTGCTCATAAATAACATGGCGGCCACTAGCAACCTTTCTCCTGTTTATGTATAGCATGATGAAAGCTTGCCCATGAGGGCAACTACAGGACAAATCTCTCATTTTAGAATCTGTGTCCCATTGCCAATCTAAACAGTTCTGATCAGTGATTGTGGCGAAAATTTACGGCAGTGTGACTTTGTTTGCATTCTCATTTGTTGTCTTCATGATTACACTAGTGACAGACCAAAGGGGGCCTTGAAACGTAATGTCAAACGAGGTTAAAACCAGCTGTATTTCTCTTATTATTCATTAGCTGTCATCGTTCAATTTATCAGAAATGACGCGTGTTTAGACCATTGATTTCCACCAACAATATAATACATCTGACGGCTAGTAAGTTCAGCCAGTTGAAGACAAAGTTAACAATCAATTACCAAACACTACGCCACTAAAGAGGATTTTAGCAGATGTGCCCCAAGGTCAAAACTGTAACCACTTCTTAAACACTGAATCTTTAGCCAACAAGGTAAACTAACACTTAAAGCACAGTACAACTGCTTTCCATTGCAAACCATGAAGAACTAATTACAGTAGCTTCACCTTTGTTGAGGTTTCTAGCATTTGATTGTGTTGAGCAAGTCATGCTATAATTATCAAAGACCATGTTGACAATCTACAGCAAACATTTGAAGAAAAAATAATCTGTTGTTCATAAAAGTGGTCATTGAGTTTTAGGATGTGGAGATATGGCAGTAAACTCTTGCATGTATAAACATCAAGTATAAAATATAAAAGTTACTGTAAACTGCAGATAAACATAATGAATGATTATGTATTATTTAATGAATATTATGTTTTTCATATTACATTTCATAATTTTTTTAAAGCGTTGCCATGCCTTACATGCAAACAATTTCAAATTGAACTAAATGTGACATTTTGAAGTGGAAGAACTAAAATGGTATTTTCTTTTCAATTTTACAATGATGCTTGTTTTATTTGTTTCTTCTTCAAAACTTCAAAAATCTTTTTTTTT